ATCACTGGGTTGGGATCCAGGGATTCAGAGAAGTCTGGATACAGATAATCAAGGTAAAAAGGGTAGGCAAACAGCACATCTGCCTACCTGAGAAAGAACATTTGCAGGTTAATCCTGATTAATGGCTGAACCTGTTCCCAATTCTACTCAGAAACAGGAGACACATTACTTTGCTTTCCCGTATGTAATGGGTTCAATTGAGTTTCCTATACCTCCAAGTCAGATGTGGAAGCCCTATAATCCTCAGTACTTCAGAATGTGACTGTATTTGGCGAGAAGGCCTTTAAAGAGGTGATGAAATGTTAGACTATTAGGGTGGGCCCTAACCCAATTGACTGGTACCCTTATGAGAAAAGGAAATTTGGACAGACAGATACCAGGGATGTGCACGCACAGAGGAGAGACCATGTGAAGACACAGCAAGAATGCAGCCATCTGCAAGTTCAGGAGAAAATTGTTAGAAGAAACCAAACCTGCTGATACCTTAATATCAGACTTCTGGTGTCCAGAACTGTGAAAAAATTAATTTCTGTTCTTTAAGCCATTCAGTCTGTGGTGTTCTGTTATAGCAGTCTTAGAACACTAAAACACCATATGAAACTTGTTTCTTGAGATATTCCTGTTCTATGGTAAAGTAGTTTTATAGATTTAAAATCTAATCCTTCATATGCTATGCTGAAGAAGGACACTAATGGGGAAGTGGAAGGGTAAAACCCTGATAAAAATGTCCTTTGAGGTAACTTGAGCAGCAGTTACCTAGAGAGGAAGACTTAAACCAACTTCTCTCATCATGATAAATTCCCTTTCCTGGAGCTTCACCCACAAAAGTCAACTTCTCAGTATCCTGTACTCCTGCTAGTGACTGGATCAGCATCTCAAGGGTCCAGTTAAGTCCAATCCCTGACCTCATCTACATGTAGGCCTAGAAATGGACACAAATACTGCCCTTGACAAATCACAAGTGGCTTAAATATTTTAATAAACAAATTTTATTACTAAACTATGAGTATGCAAAACAACTAAACAAGAGAAAATGGCCCATTTGAGGCACAATAACAAAATATTTTTTCTTAGAATGGGTTTTTGAATTGATTGGAATCCCATGGTCTTTGGGCAGATAAAAATGCCAGGCCCAGTGATGACTTTGTTCTTTGTCTGTTTGCTTGTGTCTTCCTCCCATGTGAACTGGGTTTCTAGCGTGGCCCAAGCATTGTGCTGGGGATGACAGGAATGAAGCTCAGTCACCACAGTCTCTGCGCTCACGGGGTGCCAGGACACGGCACTGAAAGAGCCAAGAAAGGCAATGGTTTCTTGCAGAGCACTGCATTCCATCGCACAGCGATACGGAGCACTGTGCAAACACGGAGAGGAGAGAGCCAAGCAGCAAGGGGGAGGCTGGGGAAGGGGCTGTTCTCAAGAAGAGGATGCTTGAGCTTCATTGTGAAGGAGAAATTCATTTATTCATTTAACAAACAAACATCTACTGAGGACCTATTGTGTGCCCGGTGCTTTTTTGGTGTGCATCAGAATCACCTGGAGGATTTGATTAAATACAGATTGCAGTTTCTAGAGCCAGGAACTCTGCAGTGGGGATTGAGAATTTGAGTTTCCATCATGTCTCTAGGTGATGGCGCTACTGGTCCAAGAATTGTGCTTGGAGAATCGCTGCTTTAGACACAACAGTGGAAAAGGGGGCAAAGACGAGCAGCACCGCGGATCAGATTGTGTAGTTTGGCACAAAGCAAAGGCACCAGGATGGGCAGTGGGGTGGGAATGGGGCTTGGAATCCAGCCCAGACTGTACTTGCCAAGCCCTGAGGGCAACACCCACCTAAGGGAAGGGCCACCTGTCTGTATTTTGTCCAAAAAGGGGTTCTGTAAAATTGTCTGCCTGTGGGTGTGTCTTTTTATCATTGATTTGCCTAGACAGACTACTTTTTTGTAATTTGCACAAAGGCATGGGGTACGCCAGAGGCTGGAAGAGACATAAAAACAGGGGGTTGGCATGAAATTGGAGATGGCTCAATATGCCAGAGCAAGCAAGTGATGATAAAGACATGAGGACTCCACGCCAGCCAACCAGGATGACTGTCTGTTGTCTCTTGCACTCAGGAACCTTGATTCTTTTCCATAGAGACATTGTGTGTTAAGCTGTTTCACTCACAAGGGAGGGGACTGTCCTTATCTCACCCTGCCACTATGGCCAGCTCCTCAGCTTACCTGTTCATAAGCCAGGTGATGCTGTCCGATATTAAGTAGATAGTGGAAAAAGGCAAAGATAAGAGACTCAAAGTACAGGTTAAAGAAAATAATGGTATGGGTAGAAGATAGTGAATAAATAAAAAGAGAAGACCACACAGGAACAAAAGCCTACTGAAGATGACAAAAGGCACGAGTGCTCAAGATACACACTGGGAGATTAATGGAAAAAGATTAAAGGAAATTACCAGTGTGCCAAGTCAATAAGCAACAACAGAAAAGATTATTTGAGTGGCTGTATTTAGAGTTGATCCAAGAAGACAAAAAAGAAATTTGCTTGAGAAGAAAGCTGGTTAGGAGGAGGTCACAGAGTTCTTGGGCAAGATAACAACGTTCTGAACCCAAGATTAGCTTCACTAATGAAGAAAGGGAAGATCCTACAGATGAAGAGTCTCATTTTGAAAATTTTTAGAACAGGCATAGCCTGAGGGTTATTTCATGGGAACCGTGCTTCCTGTACACATCTCTGGTGTTTCTACTGCCATTTCTACTGCTCTGTAATTGTTCGCCCCTTCTTTTCAACATGGCTTCCTGTTTAAAAGAATATGATTAATGTGTTAAAATGGATTTGGGTGAGAACAAGAAAATATTGAAATTTCAGCATGTCTGTTGTAAAGGCAAAAAGCTTAAAAGGTTATTTAAGGTCTTCTATATCTTATTGGTCATATTTTTAAGTTGTGATTACAACAATGTACAGCAAGCGGGGGATTGTTCAGTGAGTGCTGCATGCTCCATCAGACTTTCAGCAGCACAAGAGAACCTCTACTCTGTGTTACCCACTTAACAGTAGGTAAAATCTACTCTTCTGCTAAGTACCTCTCAGTGTGCAATAAAGCCCCGGGAGGGATTGTTAAAACAAACTGGTGGCCCCCACGCCTCCAGTTTCTGATTCAAATTTTGGAGTGTGGCCTGAGAATGTGCATTTCTAACAAGTTCCTGGCTGATGTTGATGCTCCTGGTCTGGGGACTGCAATTTGAGAACCACTGTTTTTAAACACGAATAATGTCATTTCTTATAATGAGGAAATCAGTGCTTAAATGGAAAAAGTCACAGATTTTGGACAGTTCACAAAGCATTGTGCCAAAACTGCTGAGTTAAGAGCAACACTTGAGTAGCTGTGTGCACTTCTCACTCTGCTCTAAGAGATATTGCCAATTTTGCCCAGACTGTTTGCCAAAGATTTCGTACACAAATGACAGGTGAAATATAGCAGCGTTTCAGAAATTTTACCTCAGTGGAAGAGAGTTGATCGCAATGTGAGGCAAGGCTGTTTGGGTCATGCCAAATAAATGAAAGATGTGGAAAAAATAGATGTTTGTTTTAAATTTTCTATTAAATGATTTAAAAAATTCCCTAAAGGTAAATTTGAGGGCAGATATTTGCTCCAATCATGAATCAGAATGAAATTTGTGCTATAAATATTTTTTAACGTGCCACTCTGTATTTGAAGAATACTATCAGTTGGAAACAAGGACAAAGAGAATACCATAGAATAGACTTCCTGGTGATGTCCACAAGCAGGTCTGGGAACCTGTACGAATCTTTCTCAAATCAAAAGAACCACCACTGAGATTTAGCAAGCCTTCCCTCACCCATGCATTATTTAAGCAATTTTTTAAGCACTTCTAGATTAAGTGGCTTACTTAGCCCCAAACAAATCACCGAAATAATTGGAAACAGAAACAGCTCTTGTATTCTGCCCTTCCTTCTTTGAGTGCTGAACACCTCTCTTCAGTGAATAGTTTTCACCCGATGAAATGATAATCGATGCAGAACTCCAATGGAATAAGCTCAAACTGGTGAAGTTTTCAATATTCATCTGTGACTGACCAAGCTTTTCATTAGTCTGGCTTATTCATATGGATTGGAACATAAATATGTAACTTTCAGTCTGTAAGCTGATTTGGGAAAGCAGTAGGTGATGGGGTCTGATTTCAAATGGGGAAAGTTTAACATAACGCTGTTGTTCCGAAAAATAGCACTGTTGGTTCTGAAAATAAAAACGTGTAGGCACTGAATAGGTGTCATAGGAAAGCATTAAGAGTCTTATTAGGGATGCTGTTGGAAGGGGCTGCTGGGGGAGTGGCGTGGAGCTCAGTTCCTTTAAGAGGCAGGTTGGGACTATTGAGTTAGCTCTGAGCTCCTCTCATTAAAAAGGACTTAAATCAAGACTCCTGACTGTGAAGGGGAAGCCAGCCAGCCTGGGTGAAGGAGGAGGCTTCTGCTAACAAGCCTGGTATGGGGGCTTACACAGAAAACCAGCACAATCCACTTCCTTTGTTGTTTCCTCACAGACTGAGCGTGTAGGAGAGAAGGCCCTGGCGTAGGTTAGTTGGGGATATCCCTTTTGAGGGAGCCCTAGAAAAGGAGCCAGATGGTAAAATAAAGATGAGCTGAGATCAGCATCATGCAGCCTCACCCTTTGGTTATGGCTCTGTCATACCAGGGAAAACCATCTGTTTGTTCCCCTTCTAGTTATACGCTATGCTTTTGTGGTGTGGTTATCTTGAATGTGCCCATATAAATGTGAAAGGCTAAGACTAATATGGAGCATTAACCGTATACACAAAGGGACCTCAATTAGCCCTCTTCCCATGATACCAGCACTCCAATGGTGCCATTCTCCACTCTGCCTATGGGGTAGAACTAGGTAACCACAAACCCCAGATGGACCGATCAGGAAAGACTCACTCTCACCCACTTTGGTCAAGTTACATAAGCACTCACTTTGAGCTCAGCACCTTTTCGTCCTTAGTGCTTGTATTTGGGGCTTTCCAAATATGGAGGATCACCTGGTCCCTGTATTTATTCCCTACTGCTTGGGCTTTGGGAAGTGTGCTCATTGCACATGAGCCCGAGGATAAGAGCATGTTCAAAACCATATAGTTATTATTGCAGAACTATTCTCACGAGGAAAGTTTAAGAAAATATCGCATAGATTTGATTCTCCCTTCTAGAACTAATAATGTCTTGAAAGTGCTGTGGAACCAATGGGAAAGGACCTGGAGAAAAAGCTGTAGGGGGTCCTGGGGGCGGAAATGACATAAGCAGTGGTAGGGATTTGCAAAGCTCACCTTTGTCACTTCACGATTTTGTTGCTTTGAAGAGGTTTCTAAACAGATTTATTGATTGCATCAAAGCATGACTTTTTAGAATATCCATTATCAACACTAACACTGGCTTTTTGATTTTCCAAACAAGAATTCTTGTCATGTGTTTGGCGTTTGTAAAGCAGTTTTTCTTCTTACTCTCCATCAGTGCCAGAAGGTCAGTGATCTGAAGCCAATTCATTTACAAGGCCCTAGTGGTTTGTTCTTGGTCTTGTTGGGTAATATTGTGTCCAACCATCCAAAGTGTTTCCCCTCCGCTTTCCTTTCAACTGTATTTCAACAAAAAACTTATTGTCAAGATTACTTATTTAAATTGGTAAACAACTTTCAACCTTTTCTTGGTCAATCTTAGGAATTTTAGGCATGATTCTGTTTTGTAAAAGAAACAAACGGAGTTATAGACGTCATGACATCATTCATTGCCCAGGTAGACTGCTTCTCAAGACTCAGATATCATTGTTCGCAATGCTCTAGACAAGCCCAAGCACCTGTAAAGGAAAGACCACCACCATCACTGCCAGTACCACCAGAACACTGCTAGGGAATGGAGAGGTTTCAAGATACTGAACTAAAAATAAACAAGGTCTTCCAATGAGAAGATTCGGAAAGAATGAAAACAAATAATTAAAAAAAAAAAAAATCTTTACAAAACCTATTGCAACCAAAATTCCTGTAGTGGCGTGCATATGGCTTTTGTTTTCGTACTTCAAAATCTCACTTCAAGCATGGAGATCTTAACTATTTATTTTTAAAGCATTTCTAAAGACACCCTTAAAGAGTTTTGGAAGAAGCATTACAGAAACCCTAGGGAACTAGTGCAGGCATCTATACCTAGCGGTGCTTCATTCATGCTGATGCTGCATTTTGCTTTAACATGTCTATTACTAACAGCTACTGTTTTTTGAATGCCTTTACTAAGTGCCTGATGATTTACATACATTATTAATCTTATGAAAACTCTGTGAAAAAAAGGAAAGAAAATGGTGAGTAAAATTGCTTAAGATTGTCCAAATATTAAGTGGAAGAGCTGAAATCAAACTTGAGTTTTGATTCCCATGTGTTTTCCACTATAACTCTTTGCAGTATTATTTCTTTTTCTTTAAGAAGAGAGAATTGTTTTATTATATTTGTGAATAAGCTTTTTTATTTTAAAGGGTAGAATAGGTGCATGATCTATCATAATAGAAAGTTTGTTTTTCCAAACTCCAATAATATAATGAATGCCTTTCCACAAGATGCATCCATTCTCCATTGATTTCACTAAATTTCACATAGCCTCTTTTCACAGCATTCATTTACAGAATTTAACTTTTTCTAGATTCCTAATGGAAAGTATTCCTATTTTAAATAAAATCACTTTATGCATTGTCTGCATTTATGAAGCGAGTTTTATAATAAAACATACTAATTAGTTTATGAATGTTGAACTAAGAAATTTTCACACTCTTGCAAAGGATTTTAAGTGGTGGCACCTATTGACGATGTATGATATTGTGGTCTAACATCATTAGAAACACATTCTTAACATTTTAGAAAAGGAAGAAAATATTCTGGCAAGTTTTAAAACTACAGAATATATGTTACTGAAGCAATACAATGTGTTTGGAGATGGCATGGCACATTTTTTGCCATCTCAATTTATTCAATATTTAGGTATGAAAACAAATATATGTCATGACTTAGACTGCAAAATTGGCCCGAATTTTTCATCTCTGATGGAGACCTTCCAAGAGAGTCTATGTTCCAAGCACATTTATTATTGGCTTGCCATTTAGAGGTTCCCATTGTGCAACTTTTAGAAATGCTGGGTCCAGATTACCCCCTTGTGTGAAAGGTAAGGAAATGATGTTCCAGCTCTGAGTCTGGGCACAGAGACAGGTGTGGGGAAACTGGAATCTTCAAACTTTTATTTTATATTATTTCCATCAGAATTCACCAGAGGATTGTCATTTGTATAGTATATTTCAAAATAGCTAGAAGGGGAGAATTTTAAGTTTCCCAACACAAAGAAAAAGGTAAGTGTTTGAGGTGATGGATATTACCATTACCATGATTTGATAATTACACATTGTATACAGGCATCAAAATACCACATGTACCCCCATAATGTGTACAACTATCATATACCAGTAAAAAAAAAAAGAAGAAAATGTTAAATTTAGGGAACCACAAACATGTGGTCAAAAGAATTTTGGGAATGTGAGAAGTTCCATGACCCTGAAAATAGCAATGTTAGAATAAAAATCTCCCATCTGAGAAATCTTTGAAAATTCTCAAACTGTGAATGACATCAAGTAGTACAACAGCAAGCAATTTGCAAACCTGATAATCTCTTTTTCTAGAAGTTTTAAAATTCAATTCTACTTGGCAGTGTTTTTGATTGGGAATATGCCTTTAATTTCATTATGTATTACAACAGGTAGTGTCCAATGTTAGCTTTATAACACAGTCAACACTCTGAATTACATCCATTCCATATAAAGGATACTAAAATTTAGGCCAAAGTTTCAAGTTCAAAATAAGACCTTACATGTGTCTGTTTATTATTTGAGTTGTAGATCTCCTGACTTTTTTCTCATACATGCCTTTTGTGTTCCACTTTGTTTTCTCAGAAAGCAAAGGGACTAAGATGTAGCCTAACAATAGGCAAACCATTTCCAAAATCCCAAATGATTGCTCAAAATGAAATCATAGGCTGAGGTTGACAAAAATAAGCACTGAAAACATGTGTTATTACTATGGCAAACCACCCAAGCTCACTGAAAATGGGCAAATTAGCTGCTACCATACTACTGAAGAGACATGCATCTGACTTTTACTCTCAGTAGCTTGGTCAACATGGAAACTTCATTATCACACAGCCGTAGGGAGGCTCCAGGGTTCGTTAATTCAGCATATCAAGAATGCCGTTAAGTATCCAGCATCATTCCTTGTGTCCTACCTGCCTTGCCATCTTGCTTAGGCCCTGTCATGTTTGCAAAATGACTCTGTCTCCAAACCTTACGTCCTCACACACTGATGTCCAGAGACAAAATAAATAAACAAAAGGGCTTTCTCTCTCATGCCTCTTTTTAAGAGCTTAGAATCTTTCCCTCAAAGATACCGCATACACATCAATGTCCATGCATGTCTTGTAACTTAGAATTGGGTCAGGTGCTTCTTCCCAACCCAGTCTCACACTGGCAAGGGAAATGGAACGACTGTGCTGTCTTGTGATAGGTTGGGGATAACCATGGCTCAGACTGACTGGGACAAGACTCATCTTCCCTGAGACCTAACATCTACACCAAATGTGGGTTCTAGAATGAGGAAAGCAGCTCTTAGGAAAAAAACCAAGTGTCCGCTACACAGTGCATCATCAAACAACAGAAATTAATATCCCCAAAGACCAACGAAGAAACTTTCAGCATGGAAGTTACCCTGCTAAAATAGAATGGATAAGTGAAAGAGAGACACCTTGGAGGGGATGAAGGAAGAAAAAGCATCAGGAGAATGCTTCTTTCCATCCCTTCTGGATCTGGAAGTTTCATTTCTGACTCCAGATCACCCACAGCAAAGGCAGCCTAACACCTCACGGCCACTTTCCCCAGCCAGTGTATACAGAAGTGTCAGAAGGACAGAGCCATGCTGGACGCTCTGCAGGACACTGGGAGAGCAGAGGGTTTCCCTTTTCACAACTCCATGTGCTCCCTGCTCACACTCACACAAACTCATGAAGGCTGCATCTGGCCTGCTGCATGCCGGCTTCTGGGTTTTGGTGCCCTGTGAGAGGAGAAGGGACATGGTAATGAGAAGGAAGCATCTTTTCTCAGGGGGAATCATGAGGTTTTAGGGTTCTCTGAATTCAATTTAGGGTCCTGTCAAACAGTGTAGGTTATATCAATACTATGATGTAAGTTTATGCAGATAATTTTGTCCATATTGAGTATTCTTATTATATTCTACATTATCCTCAGAAGCTGGATTATAGGATTTTTCCCCCCTCAGGCAAGATTAAAAAGGTTAAAGGGATATTATTTTAATGAATCACTAAGGCAGAATCTTATTACAAAATAATTAGGAGTCCTTAATCTTCTCTCTGCAAATAAAAAATATTTTAAAAGATCAAGTTTTTTTTTTTTTACTAGAAAATTGATTATGTTTCTTCGTGTAAAAGGAATACTGTACTTGGATATCCACCTAACTGTAATTCATGTCCTAAAATAGTATTTAGACAAACCATATTTAGTTATACAGGCTTCTTTCAGATGTAATATTCTATGATGATGAAAATTCAGAGATTTATGAATCACTAAATATATGTTATTCTCTATGTTATTATTTCAAAATATTCACTAATTCAACAAATATTTCTTGTGTGCCTAATATGTGCCAGGAACAGTTCTGGGTGCTTGCAATATGTTTGTGAACAAAACAGGCAAAAGATCCAAGCCCTCGTGAGCTGATATTCCAGAGAGGAAAAGACAGGCAATGAATTATAAAAATAATAAATTAATAAATATACTGTGATAAAATAGCTAAAAGAGAATAATTTGACTGTTCCTAGTATGAAAAAAAGATAAAATTTAAGGTGATGGATGTCCCAGTCACCCAGATTTCATTTTTATACATTACATGAATATATCAAATTATCTCATGTACCCCAAAATAGATACACAAATTATGTGTCAATTAAAAGATGGAGTTTCCCAGCAAATTAATTCTCAGTAATAAGTTAAGCACACTGGGCATCC